CAGTGAGTGGGGACTGCCTGAATCTTCGAAGCTCTCCAAATCTTTTCCAGATCGATTTGAAACTCTCCAAATCAATTTGGACCTTTTTATTGGTTTCCCGATTCAATTCAGATTTGCAGATTTGGCCACTGAATCGGGCCAAATCTCCTTCCAATCAAATCAGCACCCAAAGTTTTGCACAGCCCTAGTAACCCAGTATCAAGTGGAGTGCCCCAGGGGTTGGTCCTGGGGCTGGTTTTAGTTAATGAAGATATTGAACAACTGGAAGATGGGATGGTGTGCACCCTCAGCAAGTTTGCAGATGACACCAAGCTGGGGGGAGTAGTAGATACACTGGGGGGGGTAGGGCTAGGATTCAGAGTGACCTAGACAAATTGTGGGATTGGGCCAAAAGGAATCTCATGAAGTTCAACAAGGACAAGTGCAAAGTCCTGCACTTAGGACAGAGCAGTCCCATGCACCGGTACAGGCTGGGGGCTGATTGGGCAGCAGCTCTGCAGAAATAGACCTGGGGGTTACAGTGGACAATAAGATGGATATGAGTCAGCAGTGTGCCCTTGTTGCCAAGAAGGCTAATGGCATATTGGGCTGCATTGGTAGGAGCATTGCCAGCAGATTGAGGGAAGTGATTATTCCGCTGTATTCTGCACTGGTGAATCCACATATGGAGTAATGTGTTCATTTTTGGGCCTCCCCCTATAGAAAGCATATGGACAAGTTGGAGAGAGTCCAGCAGAGGGCAGGGAAAATGGTTTGGGGCTGGGGTACGTGACTAATGAGAGAGGCTGAGAGAACCAGGTTTATTTAGTCTGGAGAAGAGAAGACTGAGGGGAGATTTAATAGCCCTTAACCACCTGATGGGTGCTTCCAAAGTGGATGGAACTGGACTGTTCTCAGTGGTGGCAGATGACAGAACAAGGAGCAATGGTCTCAAGTTTCAGCAAGGGAGGTTTAGGTTGGATTTTAGGAGAAACTTTCTCACTAAGAGGGTGGTAAGATGCTGGAACAGGTTATCTAGAGAAGCGGTGGAATCTCTGTCCTTGGAGGTTTTTAAGACCCAGCTAGACAAAACCTTGGCTGGGATGATCTAGTTGGGGCTGGTCCTGCTTTGAGCAAGGGGTTGGACTAGACACTAAATGACCTCCTGAGGTCCCTCCCAACCCTCATTTTCTATGATTCTGTGGTGCTATACCTGCATACATACAAAAGGGACAGATAAGGTGCCTTGATAACTTGCAGACTACAACAACAAACACTGCTATTTCCTGGTTCATTGATAAAAATGGGTCCTCTAGACTCAGTTATGTCAGGGGAAATTCTGTGGTAACTTTATTTTTTTTTAAGCCTATGTGATAAGACACTATAGTAATAACAAGTTAAAAATATAAAGCCTTCTGCGTTTCTTGATATGTGCTGTTATGATTGAGCAGGGTAATTAGACAGCATATTGTTCACTAAACAAAACACTTCTCTGTGACATACTTGAATTATAGTGGTTATTAACTGACAAATCTCTATTATTTATCTTGCAGTATGCTTTAAAGATTGCTGGATCAGCAAGCTTAACAAATATCAATGGACAACGCTGATATAAAAGAAATGCTGGGATTCTTTAATTGGTCTTGTTCTCTGTATCCCAAAGCCAAGCTTCATTTGTCAGCCTTAAATTAAATAGTTACATTTTTTTTCTGGATGGGACACTGAGATCAGTCCCCTGTATGTGGAGCCTTCCATTTATCTAAAGTGTCCTAAAAGGTGTCCTCTCCAGACCCTCACCTACCACAGTCACAAAACACCTAATATCCAGACAGCAAGCCACAGGTAAAAAGCAAGGGAAAGAGGAGTGCTACCTGTGCCCTGCCACTGCAAACCAGGAAAGTTATTGGATGATATATGCTCAGGTGAGCCTAGGCAGAGGATTTAAAGAAATGCCTATGTTGTTATTTGGAAATACTTATTCATAGGTATTGAATTAGCAGTTCAGAAGGTGGTTGACTAAATACTTTACCACTGTAAAAACATTTAATTTATATACAAACAGTGTTGGGTTTCAAGATTGGCGTAGCAGGCAAATCAGAACTCTCAATCTCATTTGAAAGGGTTCTTTCTGTATTATTTGTTGTTACCAGTAGGGCATAGGGGCCTCAGCCCAAATCCAGACTCTGTTGTGGTTGGCACTGCATGAACAGATAGGAGACCCTCCTTCCCTGAAAGAGCATACCACCATACTCGACTAGACAGTGAAGGAGTGGGAGGAGAAGCAGACCAGGAGAGGTAAGACGACTTTTGTCAGGTTTTACAGCAGGTCAGTGGCAGAGCTGGGAGGAGAACCCGTTTGAATAACAGTCCAGAGCCCTATCTACGTGACCATGCCAGCTCTGACAGTGCTGCAGAAACTACAGGTTCATGAATGATGACTGTAGCTCCTGGAACACTGTAGTGAGGAGGAGTTTGGCATAGGAAAAGCAAAGCTGCATCTTTTTGTGGTGGTTTTTAAGGTTAGTTTTTCTAGTGAATAAGAAAGTGCCGTTTATCACTAAAACCTTTTCATGACTCATTAATAAACTTTCTCTTATCTAATTGCAGTACTTCTGCAGAATGCAGCATAACCTCAGCATGCTATTAAAGAAAAATTAGATTTTCTTGTCATGAAAAATGCAAAGTTACTCATTGAAAAGCTTATAATTTCAGCAGCAAATGAGGCATGAAATATATTGCCAAACATACAGCACCCAAAAACACTGGCAGTAAATATTTTATCTTGGTGCTAATAAAGGCTTGAATTTAAAATCAAGCATTCTGAATTTCCACAGTAATATCATTCATCTAACAGTGCTGGCATGCATAGTCTTAAGAACAGCATGCATCTGGAATGACAGAAATGTTATGTCGTTAATCCTTATCCACGCTACGAAAGTGGAACTTGTTTGAAGCTTTGGTAGAAAGTAAAGGTTTTTCCTCACTTTCCATTGTGCATTCGGATTTAGACTGCTAAGACCCCAGTACTATGGAAGCAGTGGTTTTACAAACTGCAGGATAAGAGACTTGATATTAGGTAGGACTGGAAGGGGTCTCTTTGGCCATCAAGCTCAGTCCCCTGGATTTGTGGGCATCCCTTGGTCCACAGGGTCTATGAGTTTGTCCACACTATCCCCTCTATACATTGTTAACACAAAAGTAGCCAGGTTAAAAGAAACTTGATTTATGTTTGGATCTATTGTTTTTCTTTCATGTTGCTTGGGGTTTTCATTAATGGGAGGAACGCTGTTAGCATTTGAGCTTTGCTGAAAAGTTTAGAAAACCAGGTACAAAAAAGTGGTGCTTATAGCTTAGTTTTAGTACCTCACTGAATTTCTTTGAGTCTGTCTGGTTTACAATAGCCAGTCTGCTCCTAATGGGGACCTGTTCCAGGCCCAGTTTGTGAAAGATTTTAATAGTGTCTGTCCTGTGTAGAATTCAGGTATTATAAAAGAGTCTGGCTGTCTGTCCGTAATGCTTTACCCGCACTCTGACTGCTTGTCTGAAACAACGAAGTAGAGTGTTCCAACAGCGTTTTGAACAGGAGGCGGCAGTGGTGGCACAGCGGGAATGGAGGGGAAGAACAAGGGGATGAGCCGAGGACCCCCCAGGTCCTACTTCCTGCAGGTGGTAGCGATGGCCCCCCCCACCCCTCAGTCCCTGCTGTCATGGCAGCCCTGTCCCTGCTGTCCCGCTCTGCTTCCAAGGAGCAGGGCCAAAGCGGGGCGGGGGTGAGGCCAGCACCACTGGCATAGCCCTCCTGCTCCAGCCCCTCAGTCCCTTCTGTCATGACAGTGCTGTCCCCCAGCAGGGTTGGCCTCACCCCCCCACCAACCTAGCCCTGCTTCTTGGAGACAAAGGGGGACAGAGAGGGGGAAACAGTCCTTGCTGTCATAGTGGTGCTGTCCCCCACTGTCCCCCACCAGGGCTGGAGCAGGGGGGCAAGGGGTGGGGCAAGGGGGATGGGTCCAGAGACAGAGGCAGCACCG